CCCCACTGCGACCTCCGAAAAGCATACTGACGGAAGATTAAAACCGCAAACATGCAGAAATTAGAGGCCACTTATTGACATTGCAGAAGTCTTCTGGTATTACATCACTACGCAAATTTTGTGTCTACTATCTTCCAGCATATTTACTTCTTACGCAGAATGTGATATGTCGTTACTGATACAACTACAGAGCAGAATTTCCATGGATTTTCTCATTTTACTTTCTCACATAAGCAGTACACGTACATACCAGAAATAAATCTATGGCTCTACAGCCCTTGTGGACCTTGGTCGCTTTTTCAGTTTCTTAATCTATACACAGTCGGTAGGACTCCTCGGACGGGCGATCAGCCAGTCGCAAGGCCGCTACCTACACAGAACACAGAATAAGCACACAGACATTCGTGCCTCGAGTGGGATTCGAAACCAAGTATTCGAGCGGGCGAAGAAGGTTCATGCCTTTGACAGCGATACAGAGCGTGATTACACTTTACAGTTCACCGTCACACACACACACACACACACACACTAGTGTCCACATTCACGTCTTCATTAGCTGTTGCTCGGTAGCGGCTTCCAACGGAGGAAGTTCCTCTTCCTCTCGGTTAGCGAAACATCCCCGGCCTCAGGTACCAGTTTCTAACAGTAACAGCTCATAACGACTGAATCTCAGCAGTTCACTGACTAACTCAGTTAAACACGAACCCTCTTCACCAGCTCCTCACTAACTGTCCTGCTTATAAAATCCCGGCACGTACCGAACAGAATACCACACATCTCTGTCGCTGACACTGCTGAGTGCGCAGACATCGGCGCGCAAAGCGCTGAGGAAACCATTCCTCTGTTGCTGTTTATGGACCATTACATAGCAACGGCTGTTTTATATTTACTTATAACGCGGTCGTTGCCGAGCAACCGGTCTACAACCACATTATGTAGTAACGTAAGTCTCCATTTATTTTGTTAAAACTTCTTTATAATCGTATTTAACAAGCTATGTAATAATCGTATTTAACATGCTATGTAAATGATATACATGTATTTTGTCATCCTTCTTCTGTGTATTCATTCAGTTGATCGGATACTGTGCAACAGGCATTTACTCCCGGGCTCGACCCTTTACATCTATTTCTATAATTTGTCCTTGCATTTCGTGAATCTTTCGGCTAAAGTACAATTAGTTCCACAGCTGTTCATTAATATAGCGACCTTGCTTTCGTAATAAGAAGTGTAATGAAACAAGCCTAACACAGAAGTGGATGCTACGGCTTTTGTGACAATCTGTACCTCCCGGTCAGAGGTGTAAGGACCGCGTTCATTCATCGTGATCCGAAACCACCCTTCCCATCAAAGGGTAGGAAGAGTATCCTGGTTAGGGCGACCTGCTGCAGCTTAAGCGTGCTGTGTGTGTCTGATGAAGTTGGAAGTACACAGGACTGTTTCTCGAAGAATTAACCCTACATAACATACGTGGACAGTAAATTTTCAAGCAGTTCCTATAAACAGTAAGATTGTAACGCTGCGCAGTTTGGTAGCAGCCAACAGCGGCAACTGTCTGCCGCCTGTTTCATGCTGGTTCCTCCTTGACTTAATCTTCAACCATGAAGATGACGGCAAAATATTCCTCTGAAACGGCGGTAAACTTCTGCCGAAAGTGCCGCAATCCAGAAGACTGTCACCGCCATGAGGGCTCATATGCTCAGTACATGCACCCCTTCTCAATTTTTCTAATGGGGCAACATTTTAAAGAGATCCTTTTCGAGCCCTTATTAGATTATTCTGAAGTCGCTATCGCCATCACACAAATACAAAAACATAAAAACTCCGTGGCCTGTAGCCCTCGAGTGAACTACAGTGCCATCTTTAGCGCACAGAGGGTGTCGCGTGGTCAGCGCAACGGATCCCCACGGTCGTCAATCTCGGTTTTCTAGACCGGAGCCGCCATTTCCTTGAAATAGCTCCTCAGTTATCCTAACGAGGCTGAGTGGACCCCGTTCCAGACCCACTACTTCTCAGAAAATCTGGTAGGGCCGGAAATCGAACCCGGGACCTCTGGATCTTTAGCCAGGAACTCTGACCACTAGACCACAGAGGCGGGCCATATAACACAATTATGGTAAAAAAATATAATCAAATTCAATAACCCAATCACCCAAATCTTTGTCAAAAAGTTATTTACAGCAATGAGGCATACGCATGAATATACAGGAGTTCAAGAACGACGCACTTACGCCTTAGGCATCATGCCTCAGGAGTCGTAGTTAGGCGGAAGTACGTGGCAACACTGGCATCAGGAACAGTTCTCTGATGGACAGACTCGTGACGGTAGTAGCAGCGAATGAGGCAATTTCTAAAAGAGCCTCCGCCGGGGATTGAACCCTCAGCTGTCCGGTCCGAAACCACACTTTATATTGATTACGCTTGCACCAGAAATAATGTCGAGGTTCGGTTGCTAAAAACAAATAATTGTACTTACAGAGAGTCCGCATGCGTACCCCCCCCCCCGGTGTTTCCGATTTACAACACCTCACTGNGAGGCTGAGTGGACCCCGTTCCAGACCCACTACTTCTCAGAAAATCTGGTAGGGCCGGAAATCGAACCCGGGACCTCTGGATCTTTAGCCAGGAACTCTGACCACTACACCACAGAGGCGGGCCATATAACACAATTATGGTAAAAAAATATAATCAAATTCAATAACCCAATCACCCAAATCTTTGTCAAAAAGTTATTTACAGCAATGAGGCATACGCATGAATATACAGGAGTTCAAGAACGACGCACTTACGCCTTAGGCATCATGCCTCAGGAGTCGTAGTTAGGCGGAAGTACGTGGCAACACTGGCATCAGGAACAGTTCTCTGATGGACAGACTCGTGACGGTAGTAGCAGCGAATGAGGCAATTTCTAAAAGAGCCTCCGCCGGGGATTGAACCCTCAGCTGTCCGGTCCGAAACCACACTTTATATTGATGACGCTTGCACCAGAAATAATGTCGAGGTTCGGTTGCTAAAAAACAAATAATTGTACTTACAGAGAGTCCGCAT